GGTGTTTTGTGGCTCCACAGCCATCTGCCTCCCCACAGAATAAGCTCTGTATGAAATGATGATGCCAATTTTTCTTATCCTGAGATTCAGCAGAACCACCTTCCTGACTGAGCAAATGTGCTGGCATATTGCAGTGCAGGCTCCCTCCTGGAGGAGAGATGTAAGCAGGAAGAAAGCTGGTTTGGATCCAATTTAATTTCCCGAGGGTTATTCTATATGTTAGGAAAGCGAGCACACAAAAGTCAGATGCAGATAGAAGGTTAAATGCTGTTCTCATTTGTGAGGGGGTAAATGCACAGTAGCCATGCTGATAACAGGGTTATGCTAGAGTGGAAGGAAGACTGCAGGAGACTGACCTAACACAGAAGAGCTAACAGGAGATTCTGAAGAAGAAAACCTGGTTCTCTCATATTTTTCTCTTCCAGCCTTTCCCTGGGCCAAATTCTGCTCCAGATCACAGTGTAAAGTGCATGCAACAGAAGCACAAACTAGCCAGAGCCCAAAGCAGACCAGCTCTCTCTCTCCTCTCAGCAGCCACACCAAACTCAGTTTTCTTAAAACACTGATAAATCAGAGAAAACTCCAGTCTTCTGTGAGAAATTGGCTGTGGGGAAAGGTTTCCATAGAAATCTTCCTTTGTCCATAGTGCCCATACAGGCTGTGCCGTTCCCTCTAGTTTCTCAGTTCAGTCTGGTGACTTCTGTCTGCTTCCAGGGCTAACAAGTTCCTGACCTTCCTCCCTATTGCCATCACCACAGAGGCTTGATCCTGAGTCTGTTTTCCACAGTCATGGAGCACCCTGTCCCCCAGAGGAGTCTCTCAGCCCATAGCCCCCCCAGAAGCTCTTCATTTGCTCGAGGACCCAAGTTTGTGTTGATGGTTTGCATTTACACTCCTGTACCAGAGAGCAGAATCTGGCCCATGAAGACCTTGAAGATGTAATTCTGGAGGACAGATGTCTGTTTCTTTTTCCTTCATCTTTCTTTTCCACTTCTGCAGATTTTTCACACCAGACATTGCAGAGCCGCCTGTGATGGCATCTGTCAGTGCTGAGCAGCAGGGGATGCTTCAGCAGCCTGTCCCCTTCCCACCACCGTGGGCACACAGGGGGACACTGAGGGGCTGTGCTGTAACAGCACTGGCACACTGCAGGCACAGGCATGATCTAATCCACTGTGGAAAGCAGCCACCACTTAGGGCTTCATTCCAGTGCCTTCCACCAGCTCGGCTCCTTGTGTGGGGAGGTGTTCACACGTCAGGAAGCTCTTTGCTGTCTTCCTTCTCAAAGAGTGGTGGTTTTCTCTGCTCAGTGAGGGAACAGAGAGGTTGGGCTTCCTGAGAAGCTCTCAGAGCTGCTCCTGCAGAAGCTCAGAGGAGACGCAGTGCTCTGTGCTCCAGAATGCTGCCCACACACTGCTGTGCTGCTTTCTCCAGACATCCTCAGTTTGATTCTTTCCTCACTTCCCTCGCAGTCAGTCTAACTTATTTCAATGTGAAGAAGCACTTCTCAAAATACAGATGCTACCTCTGCCCCTTCCTGACTTTGAAGTGTTATCTTGGGGACCAGTCAAATGCATGCCTTTTAAAATGCATTTTCAGCATCTGAAACACAAAATTATTGCCAGAAAGTTTATCAGTGCTTTCCTCAGTACCTTGAGATGCAGAGCCAGATTCAGACTCAAAGAAGGCTGTGATGCCTAAACTAGGACACAGGCAGGTATGAAGGCTCTAAAAAAAGTCTTTAAAGGGGACAGAAACTCCCTTTCTCCACAGCCCAATTCTAACACTTCGGTAGGTCCAAGACCTCTCTATTTCTGACATAGAATTTCTGTAACTGGCCTATTTAATTTGCAGCCTCCCCTGCACTACCCTTGCTTGGACAGCTCAGTTTCTGGCTGCCTGGGCTCACTCGGCAACCTCAGTTTTCAGACTCAGCCTGATGTGGCACTGGCTTCACCTTGGATACCCAGTTCTCCACTGTGGATCCCAGTCTGGCCCAGAGAAACTTTGAACATAGGCTGCTAAACTGAACAGGTGTGAGAGTTTTGATTTTGACCTTGACTATGATGAATGTTCATAACCTTCCCTCAGGCTTCTACACTTATTTTTTAGCCACAGCTTGTTTCACTGACCCTTACTTCTTTCTTACTCCACTGTCTCCTATCTTTCTCATCATTCACCAGTGGATTTCTTTCCTATGCATTATATGTAAAGCACATTTCTTATTCCCAATGTTTGCTTTGAACAATGTTGATCCAGTTTCAGTTTTCTTAAGTCCTCTCTGCTTGTCTGCAAACACTGTTTTTGCTGAAAAGATTCCTCCACAGCTTTCCTTTCCTAAAACAGTTGCAGAGAGGGAAGATTTGAAACAGACACTCCAATGTCTAAGCCTCCTTTGTGACGAGACAAGGCTCAGAACACTTTTTTCTCTTTCACACTGAAATTATGCTGTCTTACACAACATTTTTACCAGGTCTAGTTTTTAATTATGTCTTCCATAAATACATACCCCAAATTTGAATAGCAACATTTTTATAAAGTGGGAATTGAATGTTATTTTTAAATTGTAATGCCTAAAACCTTCAGGGGTTCCCCACCTTTGTTTAAATCTTACTAAATCCACAGGAGAGTATCAAGAAAGGCACAGAAGAAATGTATTTTCATGTCCAGAGCCTGTGGGAACACCACATCAAATCCAGTGTACAGTCCTCACCAGCGGCCAGAGCTAATTTATCTATTGACAGCTCTGAGCCCTTCGAGAAATCACTTGGTGGCCTCTGTTTCATTCCCTCTGAATATATTTCCCCTCCAGTGGAAACTGTTAATGATAACTTCAGCAGAGAGGTCCTCATTCAGCCAAACCCCTAAGCCCAAATGTAATTTTCAGTGTGAAGATACTGCCATTGAAATCTGTGGCAAAATTACATTTCTGCCTGTTGTATTAGACTGTGACTGACCAAGCTCTTGTGCTTCATCAGTCCTTGCAGGAATGCACTCTAAATCCCAGGATTCTGAAGCAGACCCCAATGTCTGCTTCTATTCTAGCATATTCTCCAAACAGCAGAAAGAGAGGAACAGCACAAGAACAGACTAAGAGGAGCTCATTGTTTCATTCTCACTTGGGCCCTAATTCCATTGTGTGGCTGTTCCTTCCCTGCTAAGAGTGAAACAGTAACACCTAAATTACTGCTTAATTGTAATGCCTCTTTTCCAATGTCTTCTTTCCCACTTGCAACAAGAATGTATATTGTGAAATAGCCAAATGTATAACATCAAACTCTGGGAAGATCACTAAGCTGTAGTTTTACACTGATTTTTAAGCCAAATCTTGCTTGTCTTAGGTGGCACTGTGAAGCTGTGAGGCTGAACCTGTGGATATGATGGGCAGGATTTGATCCCATCACATGAAGAAAGCCATGAACAGCTGCAACTACTTTTAAAGCAGTTCACAACCACAGCTCTTCTGCTTCTGGTCCACTCAAAGCAGACCCTTCAAGCACAGCACTTTGTTGTTTCTTTCCTTCTGGAAAGTAAAGAGTGAAAGAAAATCTTGCTATTTCGGATGGCATTAATTTTAAAAAAACGGGAAATAAAGACATTTTAATTGCATGGGATTTCTGAATAAGGTTTCAAAGTGGGGGTAAAAAAATAGCTGTGTGCCTGGTACACAGAGAGCCCTTTCTCTTCCCCTTTGTGGTAGAGGAATCAATGGAATTCATATAAAAGAAAGAGGGGGGTGGGAAGAGAGATAGGAGATGCCTTGCTCGGCACCAGCAGGTCACAAGTCTCATGAGGCTCGAGCAGGGCTTGCGAGGAAGTTGCTGACTCTATCACCATGAGTACCTTTTTGTTCCTTGCCTTGGATTTGCTGGTCAGTGGCATGCTGCTTTGCCTGGCTCTCCATAGAGCTTGTAGCCTACAGGAATTTGGACAGAGTGGTACAGACATCGCCGACAGAGACTCTGATCACTGACTATCCCTTTAAATGCAGTCTCATGACTTAGTCTTTGCTCCACTACCTATTAAAGAAGGAGACAAGACGTTCATAGGCAGCTTCCATTCAGGCACCCAGAAGAACACAGAAAGGCAAGACAATTTAACAGAGCTAACTGTGAGTAAATACGAAGCATTAGAGGTGCTCTCTAGAGCAAAGGGCATGGAGAAAGATTTGTAGGAAATCCTGAGGTGAAAGAAGGTGCAGTAACTTTAAAAATATACTTGTACACAATCTTCAAAAGGTGAAATTTTGTAAGGAAAGCTATTATCTCATTTTAACATTATTCCTTTAAAAATGGATCTAAGTTTCTCTTAATATAATGTTGACCAGTGCTTGATTTCCCATAAAAATCCGATGTGGTGATTTTGTGCTGCAAGCACTGGAGCCTTTTGCAAATACCACCTTTTCTTTTGCTGGCATAAATTTTATAGAAGGAATATCTGGGGGGAAATTTGAAGCCAGCCTTTTTCAAACTTGGATCCAAAGCCCAGCCTGGAGCTTCCGATTATATTTCTGCACTTCACGAGGGGTGGCCTTCCTCCTGGGAGTGCTGGGGACAGAAAGGAGCTGTGGGTGCTCAGCAGCATGGAGACTGCACTGAGCTGTCCCATCATGTGTGCAGGTAGCTGATTTTGAAGAGGCTGTGTGTCTCCACGCTCTGCAATGGCCAACCATCTTATGTGCTACAGCATTCTGGAAAATTCAGTTCTTGTCAGTCAACAGATTCATCAGCACATCCATACATATTTCTTTTCTTTTCTTTTTTCTTTTCTCTGTAGCTACTGAGTCGACCTGTACAAGTATTTTAACAGTGATCATTACTGTTACAAGTGATATCTCAACACTGATGGAAAGTTCCTCTGCCAGCTCAGTCTGTTGCTTTTCTAAATATATCCATGTCATTAATTGCAGGTATTAGCTGGTGGAGACTGTTCCCAGCTCGTCTTCATGTTGCCCATTTTATTCTCTGCATTTATCCTGTCTGCTTGCTGCTTACCCAAAGGGTTAAGCCTCTCCTATGAGGAGCTGAAAGAGCTGAAGACTGAATTTGCCATCAGTCTCTACCGGCACGTGTCTGAAGCAGAGAACAGGACCAATCTGGTAGTCTCTCCAGCAAGTGTGGCTGTTTCTTTGGAGCTGCTGCAGTTTGGAGCTCAAGGAAATACCTTATTGGAGCTGCAAGATGCCCTAGGATACAGTATTCATGGTAATGTACATTAACAAATACTTATTGTCTTACATTTTGCAATAAACTCATAGCTTTACAAAGGTGACAGGAATTGCACACATCATACTAAACTTCAGCTTTCTCTCTCACTGCAAGATGTAGTTTCTCCACCTTTGACAGTCAGGTATCAGATGACAAAGGAAACTCAAGGGAGTAGTTGACACACAGGTTATTATTCCTCTTTTTTCATTACTTACTCTCTTATGGCACAAAATACAGCTACATCTAGAAAAGCTACCTCCATGAACAGCAGGATTGCTTCAGATTTGCCGGAGGTTCATTGTGTCCACTGTGTCCTGGTCTCCCTTTGTGTGCTCTGCAAAGAACTGCCAGGCAGAGAACAGTGGTTTTCTCTCCTATCCCACTAACAAATTTTATGAAACCTGTAGTAGAAGCTGAATTATCTTTAAGACTTTTCTAATGGTATTACAACTGGCCAAAAAGATGAAAAGTTATCAGGAGACTGGCAGACAGAGATATACATTGGCAGATAGATGGTGCAATTCCATCTTTCCCTGAATGCAAGATAAAATATATTCACTGGGAATTTGGAAGGGATATGGGAAAGACAGATGTCTTTAAATCCAGCATTAAGTCAGCTGAATTTAAGGATGGTGTTTTCATTTTAGCTCTGGATTATCCTGCCATCTCAAATCGCATGTCAAAAACTATTTTACATTATGGGCAGAATGCTTATGAAAAGCAGATGACTGCCTCATCTTCAAAACTTGCAGCTTACATACAATACTTATGTATAGAGATAACACTGCTATTTCTCAGCATAAAATTTACCTTCGGGGTATGAAGACTAAAACCCACAGCAATTTCATTGTCCTGTGGTGTAACCAGCCTCAGTGACCACCACCATTCTGTACAGAATTGATATTCAACCCCAGCACAGCAGTAAGAGCTAAGATCTGTCTGATCCATACAGATACAGCTTCATGCACTGACACAGGGACAGTGCATCCAAATTATGAGCAGCTGATATAACAAAGCCTTCCTACAGGACTCCTATTTCTGTAAATTAAATTCCTAAACAACATTAATTCATACAAGGATTATACCTTGCTTGACACTTCTGGTCATTAGGGGCTCAGTTATTATGAAAGGACCTTACAGAATAACATTTCAAAGTGAAATTCGAGCACAGATCTCCACAGAAAATATAACAGTGAAGTGCAGGGGTTGTTCATGACCTGCTAGCTCTTTTATGCTCTCTTCTCCTCATGTGGCACATCATGGCAAGCAGACGTTTTATCTCCATTTTAGCTGTCTGTGGTATAAACCACAAGAGCTTTGGCTTTCAGTAATATTAATGCATGTGAGTGAAAATAAAGAAGGATGGGATCTGTTGTTATTGGTATACAGCGTATTTCCAGTAACAGAGAAGGAAACCACTTCCTCAAATGGTCTAAATCAAATAAATAAATACTTAGATGAAATTTCCTGTAAGAAGAATAAGCCCAAATTGTATATGTATGCATATATGATAAAATTCCTTTCTTCTAGTAGATGTTTGCATTAACGTTTCTGTTGGTCTGCCCTAAACAATAATGAAGGATATGGTTAAAACCTTAGCAGGCTGAGAACAATGAAAACATTGATGGTTCATTCACTGTTCACAGAGAATCTGCTCTTACATGCACTTGTAGACTTCTTTCAACGTTTGGAAAATTTGTTCAACCTTTAGTCTAGTACTAACAAAAACAATGTATAATGGCATATATCTCTAGACAGCATAGACAAAATTATGTGCTTTCAAATGATTTATCCTTGCTGTTTTATTAAAGCAATTTAGAGCTGTTGTCCAAGTAAGAATTCAGGACTTTGGTTAGCTAAGCACATTGATGAAGTCACAAACTTGGGATACCACTCCTCATATTCATCTCTGCTTCTAATTTACCTTTTTTGATTTCTCACATCTTCCAGAGAGCTCACCAAGTGCTTCCACACTAATGTAAAACACACAAGAATAATGCTTTACACCTCAAACCATGTCAGTTTTATTAAAAAAAGAAAGAAGCCCACTATTGTGGACTGTATGAATAAAGGAGTGCTTGTAACACATGAAGAAACCTACCAGCTTAGTTTAGGATTGCCAGAGCTCATCAGCAATACTGGGCCAGTTTGGGACACCACCCTTCAGGAAATCAAATACCACCTAAGGGCAAAATGCGTCAGAGAGGCTATCAGGGTAGTGCCTTTCCTGAGATAGGTGGATAACATCAGGAGATGGAGATAATGGTATTGTGGCATTGGCAGCACAGCCAGTCATGGCCAGAGGCATGCTCACTGGTGGGAACTCAGAGAGTGCCCAAGAAAGAATAACTACCTTATGAAATGTGAGCCTGACATGAGATCAGCCACTTGACATATCTGCTCTGGGGTGATTTCTACAGACACATGAAGAGACCAGTGCATCACTGCCCGTGGCAGCAGTGCTTAACAGGAATACTCCATAAAGTCAAGGGTGCTCCAGTGCTTGTAGGGCTTTAACAGTCAGAGGACACCAGTGTCAGCACTGGAGCTGAGAGCTGTGGAGCCCTGGGGCAATCTCTGCTATCCTGAGCCTCAGCACAGTAATTGCAGCTTCTCTCTCTTGCCCAGCAGACCAAAGCATGCAGGATTTCATGCACACGGTGGATGAAGCAGTGACTGACTCCAGCCAAGGCCCAGTGGTCCAGCTGGGATGTTCCCTCTTTGTGGATGCGGGCGTGCAGCTCTTGCCCGACTTCGCCGAGCGCGCCTCGCGCTGGGCTAACAGCAGCCTGCTGCAAACCAACCTCAGCGACCCCAACATCACCCACACACGGGAATGGATCACCACTGACCTTGCAGGTACCACAGGGACCCATGAGAATGGTTGCACATGAATGAAATGTAAAATAAGAGTAATGGGAGAAATTGCATCTAACCAAGCACAAAGGTTTTCCCGCACTCCATATTGCCCAAACCAAAACTGAAAGCCAGGAAACCTAATTCTTGTGTTAACTCTCACTTGTAATGTGAAGAAAGAGATGGAATAGGTTTGAATCTATAAGCAGTGTTAAGCTAGTAACCACTTGGCCTTGTTCCCTTAATTTTTAAAAAGGCAATCCTTTGCAGTGTTCTCAGTTTTAATTGGGAGCAGCCAAATTCCCCTTGGACCATATTCATGACACTGAATGCTTTGATGGTGCTACAGGGGACACGCAGGGGCATAAGCTCAAGTCAGAGTCTGACTTTAAAAAGTCGAAATGGGAAATAAAACCACTAACCAGCTCAATCTCAGCTCTGAGAAGAGCATGGACCAAGAGGCAACCCCAGTGAGGTCCATGTGTAGGTGGGGAGGGGAGGGTAGAGAGTGAGCAATGCCTTGTGCCTCTTGGCCTTAGGGATGGAGAGTGGCCTCAGCTTGCTTTATGTAGTCATATGGACCTGGCCTTTAGGCCTGGGCATGTAGGACTGCTTGTGTCCCCCTCCCTTGTCTCTCTTCCTTGCAGATGGGGACGTGCGTGGGATGACATTGGAGAGCGCTGGGTCGTCACTCAGCCAGGTCACCCTGGTGAGCACCCTGTACTTCAGAAGCATGTGGCAACAAAAGTTTTCCTTTATGGATTCACAGATGTTGCCTTTTACCACACCAGAGGGCTTGACCTTGAAAGTGCCTACCATGCATCACACAGCTGAAGTTAACTACGGTAACTGTCCTTAATCCATATTTGATCTACTGTGCAATATGGAACAGATTTATTTAATTCCCACAGATACTACACTAAGATGTGTTGTTTTCCCAGCTTGGAGAAGTCTCAGAAGAAGTCTCATCAAATGAAGAGACCACTCAGGTGACCAAATTGACTCCTCATAATTCCAGGCAATTATGAAACACATCCTAGGTTCAAAATGGTTCCTAAAATATCTACTGTCCCTGTCCCATCCCTCACAGACCAACATCTCCCAGTACTCCATAACAAACTTGTCAGCTATAGGAAACAATCAAAAGGCAGCAATATATCATGCCAGGAGGAAGAAAGATGAGAGACTGAGGCTCCTGCAGTATATAAAGTCCTTTACAATAGCATGGAGCTGGTGAAATAAAGCTGGCTAGGAAGGACCTACAGTAGGAAGCACATCTGACCCCATGACAGAGGGGAAATTAAAACTAAAATTATGTCAAGCCCCTACCAACTTGATTTGTTGGGTAAGAAATTTCCTGGCCCTTCAGCCAAATCACTGACCCTTGAATGTGTGAGCACCAGAGGGAGCAGAGCATAACCAGGAACACCAGCACTGCAGACCTGTAGATCTGGTCACAGCCTGTCTCCAAGGCTTTAGGGGAAAACTGCAGGTCTTCAGAGACAAATTATAGAAAAAGGAGAGAAATTCTTATGTCATTTATACCAAATAAGTGGATGATCTCAGCATGGGCTTAAACCAGTATAAATATAGGTCAAACTTTTATTTGTATAATATATGAATACAGTGTAGGCTACTTTCAAAGGCTTGATGTATGTGGGTTGCTGAAAGAAGGACTCATGCTGCAGGCTTGATTTTCTGCCACCAGGAATTATGCCAGTTAGCTATACAATCTCTCAAAATATAAAAAGCTCTTTTCCCTCCTACTCTAAATTTCAGAGCTGCACTTGGATAAAAACCTTTCAAATTACAAATCTAAATTTTTTCAAGACAGATTTATATTTCTTCACATCCTGCCTTGTTTTATCATTTAAGTTAAATAGTTTTTCTTCAGTTTTGATATTTACTCCCAAATGTAATTGCAAGTCACCAAATTTTCTCTCAATTTCCTGATAGTTAAGATGAAGATGCCAGACTCTTCAAAAACTATTCAAAAATCAAATGCTCCAAATTCTCTACTAGTTCTTTTTTTTCACTTTTCCAATTTAAATTAATCTTGTTTGAAAATAAATGAGCAGAAATGTACACAAAACTTTCAATGAGGGCATACACATGCCTGATAAAATGCTTCCACAATTTCTGTATCTTGATAAAAATACCTTGCATAGTGTATTGCAGAACCGGCTCGGGGTGGTTACTCAAGGTTGGACCCACCTGGGCCTTTTTCCTTTTGGCACTTTTTTCCTAGGTAAATCATGGGGAGGGAAATCTCCAGAGGTATATAACTTCTTTGTGTGTTTTTGACCCACCATTTTGTTTCCACCACTCCAGACTTCATGGCAGTCTCACTGTTTGTCTTTGATAAAAGTCCTGAGCATTAACAATACTTTGGAAAGCTACTAGTGAGCCTTTTCAATCGCTTGTACCTTTGTTCATTGTAGTTTCTCCTTCAAGTGGCTGCTTGCTGCCTTTCCTTTCTGGTTCTGTGCCACCACTTCTACCTGTAAATAGTGGCACAGTGAAACAATGTTTAATGTTTTGCCTAAAACTGGATGGCTGGATCTATACATTTTTGTCAAATTAGTTAACTCAAGTAACTTAGTAAAAAAAGTTTATAGTTTTGTTTGCCAGTCTACATGATATTGCAATTTATCTCACTTTCTACTTCTCTCTGTGACCTGATTATTCTTTTCTCCAGAGTATGTCCTAAAGCTTCTCAAAGACAGACCTAAAGTATTCCAGATTGCCTTCTTTTTCTTACAAATGTACTCCGGTTTCCTAGTCATGGGAAACAACAGAATTCTCAGGCTATTAAAAACCTTTGCTGACTCATTTGCAATTCCACATCGAAATTCTTCTAGTGATCGTTCAGACCCCAGATTATTAAATGACAAAAGGCAGGGGGCTGCTGGTGCTTGTACAAGCAGAGATCTCAGGTAAAGCAAATTACCAGGAATTCCACAGCTGAGCTGCATTGTCTGACCATATCTTTGCTCTGGAGTCTTTGCAAAGGTGATGTGAAATCATTTGTTGTGCTCTGCCGACCACTTGCCTAGGCACAAGGAACTGCCATCCTATCATCAAGTAGGTAGCTGAAGCACTAAATTTTTGCACAGAAAAGGAAAGACAAAATACTTGGATTACCTTTCATCCAGCCTGAAATGTGTGAGCTCCCTGCAGCTGGAGAGACTTTTGAGAAAAGCCAAAATAGAAGGGACCACTTAAAATTTGCTGGTTGTCAGATTCGAGTGGGCCAATTCAATCTCTGTTGCTAAAAAATCCAGAAACGTTTCTAACAAATCAGTTTAAAATTAATGCAAAAGACTGTCTCAGTACAACTAAACAGAGAACTGAGATGACTTTCCTTCATTATTAAATGATAGCAGCTGTGTCCCACCAGGATTCAAAACACAGAGTGAGAAAGATAAGCTGTGGCCTGCTATCAATTGCAGCATTTACAACATTGTTTATCCTTTTAACATTGCCACGAAGAACAAACCAGCCTGGGGACAAGTAAGACTGCTCTAAGAAAATGTCAACATTACTGTTCACACACACTTCTTAAACACCACAACTATTTTACATATTCATTTTTCCAGGCAATTTGTTAATGACGTTTGAATTCTAATTTAGCATATGTGTAATCCTTATGGGATGCTCAAAATTAGTTCAAGCAAGGAATACTAAATGTTCTGACTCAATCTAAAGCCTTTGATTTTCTTTCTAATTAATAAATAAGGACTGTATAACCTTTGTGGAGAATGTGCTGACTTCAAAATATCAGCATGCCCACAAATTACACCACTCATGTCCAGTGCACTGCAAATATAAATCTTCCTTGCCTACCCATTAGAAATCAGAACATCTTTTCCCAACAAATGATCCACATGCTGGGAGTTAGTTTTAACAGAGAAATTCTCTCCAGATTGCAAGGCAGGAGGGCTGATCTAAGAGCCTAAAATTTAATCTAGCAGAACAATCAACACTTAATGAATCCTATCTAGTCCATATCTGCAAAACTAACAAACACTGTAAATATTTGAGAAATCCCATAGTTATGTATTTATTGCCAAATATTTAGGTATCACAAACATGAGCTATCCATATACAGTTATTTACAACCACTGTCTCAAAAATTGCAAGCATCTACTCTTGAAGATACAACTGCTGCAGTTGTGTGAAGACGTAGATTGGATATTTTGCATGGCCTGCAGTAAAAGCAGTAAGACTCTCACTTGTGCCTTGTAGTTAAGTTACATTTAACTCCTGAAATGCTACTTACTGCATTCTCAGGTGAAAAAATAAGGAAGCAAAATTGTGACAGCTGAATCTGTTCTACTGTATAACAGAGTCCATTAGAAAGGCCTGGATTAATTGCTTTTTGGAATATGGGATGAAAATGGTACTTTTAAATGGCTGCTACAAATTGCTGTAAAACTAATTGCAAGGTTGGAAGCTCTCCAGCTTTTACTTTTGAGACTAATTTTTATGACCTTCATCTGATTGCGATAGGTCTCTATGCCTAGACTTAAAAAAATTATAAATTTGGTGCTTAAATAAATAAATAGTTAATGGTTAAATAAGTATACACTAGCTCTTGTTTAATACAACTATCTTTTTCTTGAAATAAGGTTAAAATTGACTTTTAAAGGTAGTAAAGATGGAAATATGAGCCAAAGTATGTTTCAATTAATCAAGTAGGACACTCTGCATTTTGTTTTTGTGGTTCCTATCTGTTGTAGGAAAATTTTAGTGAAAAAATATTATAAAATTATAAGTTTATTCAAGGAACATACATTGTGGGAAGAGTCATCATTGCTGTTATTGCCTTAGTAGTTTTGGGTTTTTTGTCCCCAAACTGAGGAAGAAGGAGAGCTGTTCTGTGGCAAAGTAATAAAAATCCATGCTCTGTTGAGGTGATTCTTCAGGTACTGCCAGTGGCGCTGGCACTGCTCTGCCAAGGTATCTGTGTCCCTGACACACTCAGCTCTGTTCAGGTGAGATTACTGGGAGTTAACAGCAACCTGAGCTGCCTACAGGAGCCCAAGTGCAGGAGCCCACTCCTTACATCCCACCACAGCTGCTCTGAACTGACTGCTGATCCCAGCAGGGTTGTGGGTTCAGGGTTTTCTTCCCACCTGGATAATGAAATAAGATCTCTCTTTGCCCACCCACAGGCCAGTTCCAGACTGCAGCCCTGGAAGCTTTCAGTGTGGTTGAGTTACCCTACCTGGGGGAGAAACTCAGCATGTTCCTAGTGCTTCCCAGCCACAAAAGAACACCTTTGTCCCAGATTGAGTCTCACCTTTCTGCCAAAACCATAACCCTCTGGGCCAACAGCTTGAAGAGAACAAAGATGGACATTTTTCTGCCTAGGTAAGCAATGTTAGCACAATGGATTCACTACTTCAGCTGTCAGAATTCCATGTGACAGTGCTGACACAAGCACTGTGTGAGCAAAATCAAATTACATGCTTTTGGTTTCATTATTCATCACATTATCAGAGATGCTCTAACCCTTTCATAAACCACAGAGAGGTGAGCCAGGAATGACAATACTTTCTGGTTACACTCTGTACAAAAAACCATAAGGTTAAAAAACCTAAGTATTTCAGTTGATCCTACAGCTTTTACTTACTATTTGTTTAGGGTATAAATCCTTTAAGCATCTAAACCCAGAGAAATGTTGCTGGACCTTTCCCACACTCATTTTTCCATTTGTTTAAGGAAGAATGAACATAGAACCTCCTAAAGACACATTAATCTGTATTTTTTAAACTTGCCAGAGTACTAAAAAGGCACTGGACAAAGAGCTTGGCCTCCCTCCAGCTGTCATAGCCATCTCTCCATGCACAAAGCAGGTTTCACTCATCCATTTTCCACTTCAGTCAGTTGTATTAGCAAACATCTATTCTGGAACTATTTTCTATCATCTACTCTAATAAAATTGCATACCAGGAAGACTTAAAGCCTTCTGCAGCTATGTGGCTAAATCTATTGTATGGATTAGCATGGAAGGGCTTCATTTCACACCTCCTACAATATATCCATCACATTAACAAAGCACTGAAAACAAGTGTGTACATTAATATTTGTTCTCTTCATGCTAATTTTTGGGAAATGTTTCCAAGGGCCATTTCCTATATCCAAAAATAATATTAGAAAGAGAACACTTTGGGAAAATGCAGAACTCACATGCAAAGAAGACTTAGCAGCAATCTAATTGCAACAGAGGGTGGTGAGGGATTCCTTGTGTTAATGCCTTTAGGTGAAGGTGAGCTACTTTTCTACAAATACACTGACTCAGACAATGCACTGGGCTCATACAGGAAGAGATGGATGAAATCGAAAGGCTTGAAAGAAATTGTATCTGTTAATAATTGTATCTTTTAATTCTACAAAACTCTTCAATTCCTGCATTTAAATAAAATCTATCATATTAATTTCAGGTTCAGTATTCAAAGCCTTTTTGATCTAAAAACAGTTCTTCCTGCCTTGGGAATTAGAGATGCATTTGATCCCATCACTGCTAATTTTAAAGGCATTTCAGGTAAGAGGCTTGACTGAATACAAAATTATCCTTGACCCAATAGTTATAGACTGACATTTGAATAATTTGTTAGACCTAGGTCTTGTGAATTGACTGTACTTCTTTATCTGTGAAACTCTAAAGAACTATTCATATCAACTGCAATTATATTTTGAGCTGTTTTGCAGCAAAGAGGAACCTGAAAAGGACAGGTTTCGTTCTGGTCCTGAACTTACTTTTTTCTTGTCTTTAAGATTAAAGCTGTCAAGATAGTGTAGGCCTGGGAAAATGGTTATTTATTAAGAAATTTAGGATGATTTAGTAAAACTTGCATTCTTATTTGTGTTTTTAAATAGTTATTTAGTAGTGAGGGATGCTGGTCCAACAAGTCTATGTTCCAACTCCTGACACTGCAAACAATACTGGTTTGTGCCCAGGCTATATTGCCTTGCTAATCCAGTAGTCAGTAGACAAAGTTGTACTTTCCCTTTGCTAAAATACTGTTATGATTAAATTCTTGGATTTGGAACACTGGAATTCTTCTACTCCTGGGAAAATTTATCCCCATTTAATATCCATTTTTTTTTTAATTTCCAAATTATCTACTCCTTTTCTTTTGACTCCTTCCAGCAACAAGATATTTCAACTGAGTAATTTCTGCTCACAGTAAAGACTTGGGAATGGTAGCTGCCCAGAAAGAAGCTCACATTCTTGTGCATGTGAGTGAATAAATGAGATTGCTCCAATTCAGGCAAACCTGCTTTTGCAGAAAAGTTGCTTTCCCGGGATGAACCTCAGAGGGCACATTACTCATGGAGTTTTTTATGCTGCTTTTAAAGCGGAACATAGCAATGCTCTATTGCAATATAGATCTCAGACTGCACATAGATGCACATGAAAATAATTTGTTACTGCTCACTGCTGCTTTACATATTGCAAACAAATGTTAATATACCAATAAACTACACGAGGATGTATTTTTATAAAGTTAATATCTATTTAAATAAGATAAATACTTTGGGGAAATCAATTCCATAAACAACATAATTTATCAGCTTTGTCATACAGGATAAGCCTTTAGGAGTAGTTGATCCTGCCCTGGTAGGGTTATAGAACAAAGTATATGCTGAGGCCCTTTTTCATTCTACCCTTACACCACTGTGTCATAGCAGTAGGGTTCTATGTGGTCTAAGAGTTATGTAAGGCACAGTTTACAAGGAGAATGTATCTTTTACTTAATAAATAGATAATTGGGGGAAAAAAAGTTAAGTTTTCACTTCCTCCTCCATATGAAGCAGAAGGATAATCTTCAGAATATTTACTCTCAGATGACATTTTGCAAACAAATGTGTAACTTCATTTCAGACCTGAAATAGCTTTTTTATACCTGAAAGCTTGAATTTTTCCCCTCAAAATATATAAGATTCCTCTACTTTTTAAAGTTCTTCCTTTCCCTAGTTTTGTCCTGCTTGCTTCCACTCCAGTTTTTCTGACTGGACAAAATTAAGACAGATAAAATAAGATAAAATGCTCTTTTAGCATTTCTTTGATTTTACCTACATGTTGGACTTGGTACTTGAATTCAGACAAGAAAGAAAAAACTTCAAAACTTCTCAACCTTTCCTGCTTTCTGCCTTTTGCGGGCAGCTGGAAGAAAGCAGACTTGCAATACTCTCTTCTATGTCTGTCTGAAATTATTTCTTTTCCAAGGTGCATTTTGTGTCACAGTTCCATTGTTTCTTCCTGAAAAGCATTTTTTCTACATTTTTCCCTTTCAAAAGTTCTTCAGTTCTTTCATTGTCCTCACTCTGTTAAAATTTCTATTTTCACCATGTAACCTTGCCTTCCACAAGGAAGACCTCTCAAGCTAGTGACTCCCATTCAGCATTCAATCTACTGTTACCTATATAGTGGGAAAACAGTCAAAGGCTGAAATACCTAATAGTTATGTGATCCTTAGATTCTGCAGGGAAAAAAAAGTAAAACCATTCTGATTTTTTAAAAGATGTTAATATTGAAATGCAGAAAATAACTTACTAATTTTTGACATTTTGCAGAGCAAGATAGTCTTTATATTTCAGAAGCTATTCACAAAGCAGAGATTGAAGTAACAGAAGATGGTACAAGGGCATCAGGAGCTACAGGTAAATCAAATATTCAGACAAGCTTCTCACTTCTGGAGCTACCACTTCTCCTCCCTGCTCCCAGGAAGGAATTCAGGAGGCATGTAGAGAGAGCATGGCAGGGCATCTCTGTGGTGCCCAGCCTGTTGCACATCCCCTCACTCCAACATCCCACAGCTGTAATACCAGAAAGAGCCAGAGTACACCTGAATTGAGGTATTCAGTATTTCTCTAAAACCAATCCTAAATAAGACACCTGTGCACATATGGGGGTGTACAGAGAACATCTGGTACTACTAAATTAGCCTTTCTGCAGAGCTGTACAGGTTTAAGTTTTGTAACAGTTTTAATCTCTATTGGAGCAGTAATATTTTTAATAATTTTGTGGTAAGTCCCATACAAAATAAAAGATTTTAGGTGGCTTCAATTACATACCAAAGACAAGAGAAATAGACCTTTATTCCCTTGAAACCAATGCCAAGAAATCCCTTAACTCCAGTCAGACCAAGCTGACAAGCAGACTTTTAAAAGTACAACATTTATTGTTTAAAGTTTTGGATCTTGTCACATGATGACTTGAAATGGCACTTTTTTTTAAAATAAGCACTAAAATAGTGCCCTCCCAAACTAGTGTTATCATGTCTTACTTAAATTTTCAAACTAATTCCATTGTTTAACTGTTCAAAAAACAATCCAAATCTGGTGGGTTTCATTTTGGGGGGGAGGGGGTTGACAACATATTCTTAATGCTATATAGCTAAAAGGAAGAATTTATTTAAACAGTGTATTTTAATAATAGCTGAGCCATCATAATTCTTAAAAACTCTTTATTTAATCTAATAATTAACACACAACCAGAGAGCAAAGACAGTCAAATTGAGTTGAGGATACTCGATTTTTTTGAGAGCTCTGACAAGAGAAATTCTAGGATCACATAGGTATTTCCCTGCTGCTTGTCTCCTAATTGGATAAGGAACTACATTTGTGCCTTACTTATCTTTTTCATCAGAACAGCATGGCTAGGAATTGGCTAACAGGTGAGGCAATGGCATGGTATGACTTGGGTAGAGTTAGGGATGTGATGACAACAAAATTCACCTTTCAGATGCAATGCCAGGCAGACGCCCTTCAGCATTGAAATATGCACTACCTGCATGTAGTCTCACAACTCCCGACTTGTTAATACTGCCAGACTGATTTCACTGTTGGACAAAATTGTTGTTTTAGTCTTAAAGCAGAGGAGCAACTCAAAAGTCAAGGTACTAACATATACAGAGCTTGAGTGCACTGTATGGAAGATGGAAAGAAAATAGATGCATTTTACTGATATTTTCTTTGTCACATTACAGCAATGGTCTTGCTAAAAAGATCTCGAACACCTGTTTTCAAAGCAGATCGACCTTTCACATTTTTCCTGAGACAAGCTAATACAGGTATGCATACTCTGCCTTTCAGGAGCAGAATCCCCCACAAGTAGCACTGAGATCAATACAAACAGAACACCATCCTTCAGTCCAGGAAATTTCAAATAACCATGGAAACAGTGGGGTTTGGAGTTCTAAAGCATAGTTTTAAATTTCCTTAAAAATAATGTATAGTAGTCATAGAAGTCCTGGAAACCAGTAGCCACCTCTTTGGACACGCAGTATGTGATCAAAAATTTTCCATCAAAATTATAGGCACTAGAGAGATCTCACAGATGCTGAATGCTCCAGCATCAGAAACTGATCGCTACAGGGCAATTCAAATTACAAATGGGCTGGACCAGCTGGATTAACATCTGCAACACTTAAAATAGAAACCTTTCCCTATAAAGGAAACTTTCCTATGCCTATACTGATAGCAAGCCTTCTGCCAAAAAATGTTTCTTTGAAACTGTTAACTCTTTACCTCCCCTAGCACCTAAACATAAACCACCCAAAACACCCCAACAGAACTGCAGAGTATGTCTTAGACTGAAGCATCACAGTGCTCCTTCAGCTTCAGTAGTGGATTATAAATCTCATTTCAGATGGCCAATCACATCAAGTTACTCCAGAATGTCTGCCAAAAGAAAACATCCTATAGCTAGTTAGCAATAATGAAGAAGTGCATTATGCACCATTTAGCAGGTATTTGCTACTCTGAAGCATCAGGCCAATCTCCAACAACTCTTATTCTTAACAATGCAGCAATTTTGCACCTGAAGTATTTCCCTAAAAATCGTGTGAACCACCACATTTTCTCTCATAACTGGGGTCACAGCCATTTAGATTTTCAAGGAACATATAGACATTTATAGGGCTCAGTAAAACACCTAGGCCTAGAACAAAGACAGGAATTATTTCCCTTATCTGCTTCCAAGCAACACACACTTGTTCTCTTAGTCAGTGCATACATAGTACCGGTGTATGCAACATTTTGTTTTAGAAAACCCTGCCTTAAATTTTGACCACAGTGCAAGGACCCAAAGAGAAAATTACAGACTCCGCTGGGATTTTGTTTGAAACATGCTTTGGCAATCATTACCAGTCAATGAACAAAAGTATTTTACTTGGCAAATGCAGAATTTTAAAACAAAAAGGCACTAATAAGCTCACCTATGAAACATGAGCCACAGACTCTTCAGGATTAAAAACCAACTTACTTTGGTGAATAAAACGGTCAGTTTATAACATATATATAAATTATATAAAGAGGAAGGAAATCCAATTGTAAAATAGGATTTTTATGTGAAGCATAAAATACATACCTTCCAATCAACTCAATCAAAAATATATTTCTGCAATTCAAGCTTTTTAATGCAAAAAGTTAAAACATTCAGTCATTTTGTTTGCTCAGACTTAGTGATTCTAAGTTTTTGAGGTATAGAAAACTTGAACAGGTAAACAAGATCTATTTTTCATTCAGCTGTCTAAAAGAGCTTAAAACTTCTACGCCCATAAAGTTAATAATGTAGACCAAAACTATTCATTGCATTAATTTTATAATAATAGCGGAAATTCATTTTTCAGTTCTTAAAATAGCATAGTTCTGCTCAAAATAATTGAAAAAATTAGAGTTTTTTAATCTGAATTTCAGGTTTGAGCACATTCCCTTGGAAAGACAGGCAAAAGGTAACAGCAGTATGAAAAGCCAAACAAATCCAGTGAATCTGAGGCAGTCATTTCATTCTCTTCTGTAACTAAAATATGAACACAAAGCAATGCACTTAGGTTCTGTTTTGCTCAGTGTAAGTTTCAGATTTTGGCAGATTCCTGATCTGGGCTATCAATTATTTAGAAAGGTGTTTTTAATACAGAAATGTTTAGATCATTTTAAGACAAGCATGCAATTGCAGTCAGTTTTTCCATACAAGCAATGAACGATTCTATGATCTGCTAACTTACGTATTTAAACTGTATTACACTTTGAAGATGTGGCCCCAAACTGAAATAATGTTAATATTGTTTTAATTTACAGGTTCAGTACTTTTTATAGGAAGAGTTACAAATCCTTCATAATAAGCACTAAATGCATACATTGCCTTCTGTTCCTCCTATGATGAGCTTTCCTCCAATGAAATTAAAGGCTACATTGTATACATTTATTAAAACACAGTTTTAAGCCTATCACTTTTCCAACAATAAGCAAGAGCAAAAGCTTTCCACTACCTTCTTACATTGTAAACACTGATGAAAGTTAGAGCTGTCTAGCAATCAGCAGCATTACAACTGCAGCAAAGACAGTATCCAAATAAACATTTGCAAAAAAAGGAACAGGTTTAGCCTCCTACATGTTTAACAATATGAGCCAACAGCTTCTCTTCAACTTCATCATGGCTAAAGTCAGCTTGACTGTTGCTGAGTATGTAGGTCATCTGAATGAATCACAAAAAAGCTTTTTGATGTTATTTTTCAAGCACAATTTTATTTCCCTGTACTGAAGTCAAAAGCTTAAGAACAAAACTGAAATTCTTTCTGGCCTCGGTTATAACCAAGCTGATAGAGAAGGTAACAAGCAAGCAGCAAAAGGCTGTGAAAAGAAAATCAAGTTGAAAGGCTGTTTTAAAACTGACACAGAATCACAGAATCAGTAAGTTGGGAAAATACCCCTCAGATCATAGAGTCCAATCATTAACCCAGAACTGCCAAGTCCACCACTAAACCAGGTCTCTAAACACCACACCTACACACTTTTTGAACGCTTCCAGAGATGGCAATTCTACCACTTGCCAGGGCAGCCTGCTCCAGAGCAGGTAAGAAGCAGAAATATCCACTCAGTGACCAAGCAAATGCTGCCAAAAAAGGTAGCAGTACTACCTCTACTGCCTTCGAAGCATACACAACATAGAAGAGACATTCCAGAACACTGAATGTGACTACTGGCATTAAGAAAAATTGAGGTGTTTTTCAGCACCCTGACAAAAGCTGGGATACAGCAACTCATGGCATAAGCATCAGAAGCCCAGGCCCATAAAGATTTTGGGTGAAGACTGTAAACCACTTACTCCCAAGAAAAGCATCAGAGAAGACTGGTTTATTCAGCTCCCATTGAATCAAACAAAGCCTTCCAGATAATTCAGAGCATCTGGCACAGCTGAAAGACACAGCCAGTAAAGCAATCAGTCATATTTTATGTCCAGGCAGAAGCACCCTGTGGCTGTTCCTGCACTTGTAAACATGTAAAATCTTCTGATACAGGAAACCTCTGTGCAGCCTTCCTCAAAGGCTACTGACCCCCTGCTTTACTGCACTGTATCCCTCAATAAAACTGCTGGGTTTGTCATGGCTGCAGATGTGCATACAAAACATCACTTTGTTATGCTGGTCACCAAAAGTGCAAAGTACACGATATCCTACTGTAGCTGCAATTCAGCATTAGCTCTTGCACTCATTCTCTGATTAAGAGCAGAATATCCAGTGATGCAAAACCACTCTTCATCCTTTAACACTGATACCAGAACACAGCAGCTCTGGAAAGGGAAGGCAAAACAAACCATTCCAATAAAAACTGTATTCAAACCTACACAAAGATTAAAATAGAGATTTTATTGATGGAATAACAAAAGTGCTTTTCTTAAATATTTTTCAAAATACATTTATACAACTTACAATAATATATCCAAAATAACTGTATATACAAAACATTACCTTGTTTAATGTATGTGCTTTTTTTTTTTTTTTTGAAAATTACAAAGCAACTTTTTGGCAGAGTTCAACCTTAAGAGGTGATAGTTTTGAAGATTAGATTAAGAAAAAATAGAACCTGAGGGAAAGTGACACTTATGTCCATGACAAGCAAGAACTTCTCAATTTAGTTAAATAAAAATGTTTTTGTAGTATTTTTCACATTAGAAAAATAACAGAAGTGAAAAAAAAGGAGAATGGATACTTCTCATCATTTTATTGAGCAGCTTCTCATTCTTTCAGGTACAGGAACTTGAGATAAGAGTGCATATCAAAAATGAATGCAAGTAAGAACAGCAGTGCCCTGCTGTGGCTCTCTCCTGTGCAGTTTCTTAGCTGTTGTTGATATGGTTGACCTGATTGGATCTGCGATGGATTTCTTCCAGAAAACTCTCAAGCTGTTCTATCAGCATTCGTTTTTTAAACCTGGATTTAAAAGAAAGCATTACAATGGATGCAGAGAGTAATACATGAAACATCACTGAAAAAACTTCTACTGACCTCTGGAAACTTCAGGAGCAGTAAATGATGAGGCTATATATACCTCATATGTATACATACACTGTTTCCCAATGCTCTGGTAAACCACTAACTTGCTTTTCTTTTTGCTGAATACAAAACTACATTTACAGGAGTTTATTATAGCACATTATTATAGCTGGACATCACATAGGTCTCAGAAATCCAGGAAAAAGAGTTAAGAGTTTGTTCATTCCATAAGTAAGTACAGAAATAAAATATACATCAAAAGAACTATAATCTTAAAGCTGGCAAACAGCTTTTAGGGATTATTTGCATGCCTTCACAATGCATTCACCAAAGTTAACGAAGTTGGTACTGGTAGAGGAACAGCCATTACACAGTGCAAAGCAGATTTCCTGACAAAAAAACAAATTAAAACTTCAAGAAATAAATTAAAGGAAAATACAGGCAATCCAAACTCCATACCTCTGAAGTCTCTGCAGCTCTATTCCGTATCACTTGTATAAATTTCATCAGTAGGCCATTCTGTCACCTCTGCTTACAACCCTACAGCAGGAAGTACAACTCCTTGCTGTTTCCAGCTAAACCCTCCCCCTTGCAACATTTCTGCACCTCTGAGAAGCCACTTCTGACCAATGCTTTGGTAGCCATATATGTGTTCAAAGGCAGGCAGCAAGGAAAATATTTTTAACTATATCCCAAGTTCAGTCCTATGACTTCACCAAACCCCAGTAGAAGCCTCTAGTTCCAGTCAGGTACCCTGGCCCATGTCCTTGGCTCAGAGAGACAGATCACAAGTCTCCCCACAATCACTGATGCACCCAAGAGCAAGACTTAACCACTGCCAAATTTTGTAGGAGTCTCAACTAAAGACAGCTGGAATGAAGAGATTGTGCAAGAGAAATGACAGTTACAGGTGATCTTAAAAGCCTAATTTTACAGGTACAAAAATTCCAATCCCACTAAGGGCTGCCACAAACTCCAAGAGCAACAGTTTTGTTTTGGTGTGCTGGGACAGTGAGGAAGAACATGAAATTTACAAGACGCAGAACAACTCTGACAGGCAATAAAACAAGCAAAAGCACAATAAGGCAATGGTTGCTATAGGAAGAGCACAATCTACATAAATGTACGTACCCCACCAAGCTGGCAATAGAAGGCTAGAGAATCTGTATGAATGTCCAACATTCAGCCTACCTTAAACTCTCAGCATGGTTTTCTCCTAAAATTACTTTGTTTTTTAATAATGAAATATGCTTAATGCAACAGAAAAAGACCTGACTACTATAAAACAGATTAGAGGACAAGAAGCAGCTATTCTTTGAGGTTACTGAAGTAAGCCTCAAAGTTCTGGTTATATTTACGATCCATGCAAGATCCTGGAATTACTAGTTCCCTGCAACTCAAACACGACTGGTTCTAATACACTGCTCCTTTGTTCCTCTCAGGAAGCATGTAGAAGGCTAAGTATGGACAGTATCTAATGATACTAAAAGGAACAGTTTCTACCTGGATGAAAAACACGGGGTTTAAATCCTTATCAAGTCACTCTTGTCCAGAGAAAATTTGTCCATTTCTAACGTCTCACACAGGCCTACACTATCTCTGAATGAAGTACGCTGAAGAGTAGAAACATATCTTTGAGCATACATGAATTTAAAACCTATTTTTAGGATAAGATGCTGTTTCTGAAAGCCTAATTCCCAGTAATTGTCAGTTCTGTAACATTTTCAAATTAGCAGTACACTCACACCTGAACTTTTTGATTTTTTTTAAGTTACCTTCTCTTTCTATACCACTGTCTATCTACATTGACAGATTTTTCAGTTACAGTTGCTAATATCTTTAAGCCAAAATCCAAGGGAAAAAGGTAATCTTTTACAAACAAGAACTCACAAAGGCTTATGCATTTCTGCTCTTTCATGGGGAATTATTTACTTGCAGTTCAAAGCCTTGTTTCCAAACAACCACGTGATTGTCCAGCAGTTATATGTGGCATGAATGGTGCAGTTTAAGAATAATACAATTGTGTTACCTACCTTGAAGCTTCTTTGATAACATTCTGTAAAAATATCAGTCGTGTTTGTAAGCTTCCTTGTACATGCTTCAGTAAAAAGAAGATTCTTTCATATTCTTAAAGGTCAAGAGAAAATAAACATCAGTTATTTAAAAGATGCCTACAAGGATATCTGTTTTAGTAGATTCAAGTGAAATGCAACATTCGATTTTTGTAAACTTTTAAGCTGTATCTCACATCAACTGGAGCAAGAACATCTTATTTAATGAGAACCAACACTTAAAAAACCCAGGATATTGCTTAAGATATTACTAACACCTATTAAGTTAATTCTAGTATGGATATAAAAACATGACTTCCATGAACACTGAAAGGTATAGCAATGTTTTAATCACTCCTACAGTAAGTTTTTAGCAGAAGTTTTAAAACAAATCTTTACAGCTTTAAACTTAATTTTGCTTCAGTCTCATGGTCCAGTACACTTCTAAAATAGTGATCTAACATGAATTCTTTGTTTAACTCTCAAGCCAATTATCTGAAAGAAATTCGGTATACTTACTCCTTCCTGGTTTTCGGATCTCTTTCATAATTTGTGCTCTTAGCTCTATATTAATCTCTCTGGAACTTCTGCAGTGTATTGGTTTTTTCCCTTTGCTAGGTGAAGACATTGTCATGTTCTCTTCAGTACTTGGCTCTTTGCTACCTGATTCCTCGTGATTCTCCAAAAACCCATCAACGTTCAAATTATTCCCTAAATGTTCATGGCCTACATCCTCTATATGAGCTGTCGGTCGATCCAATGAATTGAATGTTGAAGAGGAAAGTGAAAACTCTGAATCCACAGCATTTGGGAAAACATCTGAGGAAAGGGGGTCTGTAACGTGATTCCCAATGACATCAACTCCAATTTCATTATTTGTTTCTGATGCTGAAAAAATAAAGATTACATTTGCCACATTCAGAATCCTTATCATCTGATACAAATAAATTAGTCAGATCAGTATTAGACTCTTAAAACAATGCCCCAGCTCATACAGTCTACTGTAGATTATAATACTGAGCCCATCACTATCTCCTGGCAATTAACAACTTCCAAAATATCACAGGTATATTCTTTGTATGAAAAAGGAAATTACTTATGGACTACCAACAACAGAAAAACCACCTGCAAAGAGTGATT